TCCTGCGTCCGTTTACTGAGCATGATGGAGATGGCTCTTAATGTAGCATAACAATACAGAAAGTTCTTTTTTTATTATTATTTCTCTGTTCTACATTTTTTTTTTAGAGGTTAGTTACTGTGAGCAGAAACAAAACAATTTCTGATAAAGAGGGTTTCTGTCCTCAGTGGGTTTTGGGGGCTTGTTATTCTCTGGACATAAAAACAAATAGCAAATCAACCTTGAAAATGATGCAGGACTATGTCGTTTTTAACTCATGAGTTGTGCCTTACAACAACATGCAGTATTTACAGATGGTCCTCCTAGTTTTCCTCCTCCACCAGTAAGACTATCCCCAGCTCATGAAATATACATTATGTTTTCCTCCTCATCCTTAAAGGGATATTTTAGGATTTTTAAATTGAGGGTCTTTAAAAGGTTTTACTATCTCATCTGAAGTTGATAACCCTTCTCACTTAGTATAATCTTTGCAAACTTGTTTTCAAATAACTCCAGGATTATGTGTGCAGGTTAGAATTAAAAACAACTACAGAGTTCTAGAGCCTTACTAAAATCCCTAAAAAAAAACAGGGATTAATCAACAAAGAAGTTGATTAATATTAAAATATTCTTATATTCCTAAAAAGCCTCCGTGGTCGTTGTTACTGTAGAACATGATATTTTCACAATTAAAAATAACGACAGAAAATATTCTGCCTTGAAACAAAACATTCAACTTGTTTTATTTCTAAATCTCTGGTGGAAATAACCTTGAATTTGATCATTGAGCACGTGTTTGTGCATAAAATAAGCAGATTTTTAGTTTCTAGCTCGTTGAAAATATGTTTGTTTGTTTTTTTTAAGTCGTTTATGTTCTGTAATCGGAACGCGTTTCAGGAGGATCATTGGTGGCGCACCGCCTCCAGCCTGCGCTGCTTGTGTCCATCAGCTTCTTTGCAAATAACCACTTGATGGCTCGACATTTCACATGAGCGTTTGCATAAACTTCTACCACCTTTATGAGATTTGAGTACTTTTAAGATAGAAGTCAACTTATGTCGTGGCTCCTCTTGGGCCAGCGTTAGGTTCAGCCTCCAGGTCTGTCTAATCTGATTATTGAACGAATACTAGAAGGGTTGTATTATATATTTATAATATATTAGCAGCTCAAAACCTTTGAGGGCATCTTTAGTTTTAAAATCTTGAATTATCCCTTAAAATACGCATTGGTATGTCTGTGTTGGTTTCTGGTTTGCCTCCATGCTGTAATTCCTGCAATGTGAACGACACAGTCCAAACACTGTGACTTGTCTTGTTTGGGATACTGTTCTGTAAATTTTATGTAAATATTCCACTTGGTGATGTATTCTGAGTTAGGTTTATCTGTGATTAGATGAGATCAATGTATTTGATCAGGCGACTTACCTCTTTCGTGTTTATTAAAGAGTGTGCCTCTTACAACTGACCACAACTCTAAGCAATATATTGCCTTATCATGAATGTTAAGAGTCTGTGTCATCTTTGGAGAATATTCCCTTTAAAAATGAAGAAGAGCATATAAACAACAATGAAAGCAGAGACTTAATAAAGCCTTGAAAAGACTTTATTAGTTCACTCGACTTTTCTATGTGGAGTTCACCTTTTGACGTTGAGACATTTACTGGAAGAATCAACTGGTTTGTGTGATATTTGTTGACTGAAGGAGTGTTCTTCGGTGTCTTTTTCTCTACCTCTTTTATCTGCTTACACGCACATTGTTCCACGCTCACATAACCATAGCATAAGACTGGCGTCAGTCACGCATAGCATTAGATAAAACTGATAAGCGTTTGTCAACACCATTTGGTGAGGGTGAGGAACGAGGAATAGATAAACTCAAAACTGGCTCTTCATCCTTTTATTTCAATCGGTGTCATCTTTAAGATGTGCTGAGTGCTGGACTGTGACTGTATCATTGTTCAAAAATGAGTTTGTGTTTTACATTGCATCATTAAACATTTTCATATCAATATCCTTACTTCTTTGAGAAACAAATCTCGGGTCTGGGAAAAGATCTCCAGGTGAAAATTATTTTAAAAAGCATTTAAAAGAATATTCAACTGGATGTTCGATCTTTAAATGAATATTTAGAGAATATTCAATCTATAAAAGCAAAGAATGCATATTTGCATACTCTGTTTCACCAACAGCGTTTATTGCTTTGCTTCCTGTGAAACGCACAGGAGCTTTTTCTGCTGGGTTTTTGTGTGTTGGACAGGAAAACATCCATTTCCTCCTACACTCTCCTCCACACTCCCCCTCCTCCTTTTAGCGCTGCAGAGAGAAGCTCCCCTCCCCCACACCTTTTGTCACAATCCCTGCCCTGTGGTGAAAAAGACAAATCTCCTTTGTAGTGTGACATGCAAATACCAAGTCTTAGCCAGACTATTCTTCATTAGCATTCAAAGTGTGGATTTTGTTCTTTTTCGAGGTGAACCTCCCAGATCTCCTTCAATCCCAGGATGTAGTTTTCAGCTCTCTGCAGTGTGGCTATTAGGCTAACGCTAGCAACATACATGCTTTGCTTAAATACAGAGAAACACAGGTTTGTCTAAATCCTGCCATTTGGAGCTGTTCATAAAACTCTCCTGTTTCACTTACTGGGGTGGATCAAAAGTGATGAACGACACCCGTTCAGAGCAGCATCGAGAATACAGATGGCGTCGTGAGTGGAGCTCTGCTTATGGCGACAAATCAGTTGCGGTGAGAGGAGCTGCAGCAGCCGGGGGTGTGCTGATAACTGATAAAACACATGAGCATGAATAAAAACACTGTCTGGGCTTTGAACCGAGTGTTAGAGAGGTGACATTATGCTCTGTAAAACGAAGACTATGTGACACAGAGACCCCAAACACATGAATGCACTGGGTAAATCCAAAGCAGAGCTGGTTTCAAGTTGCACCATTGTACAGAGGAGTACAGCCTTTGGAGAGGAGAGAGGCTGATTTCTGTGCAAACCTGAACAGCCAGTTTTCAACCAACAACTCTGAATCTTGAAAGACCTGAAGGCATTTTCAAATGCAACTACACCTCTGCCGGATAGCAACAACTGGCTGATGACCCTCATCTGGTTCATTGTTAGGCGTTTCACCCTCACATCCTGTCTTTTTTGTTTCTTTGTTTGTTTGTTTTACAGCGACAGCTGCAGAGACACAGAGCTGAACCTCCTGGGGGCGGCTTTACATACTAAAGTACTGAGAAAGAGCAGTGAGACTGAAACCAAAATTAGTCAAAACAAGGTCAAATGTGACAAGCATCTGATATGCAACACATTTGATTCCCTGATCTACACGGTCCTGACAAAGTATAAACTGGGGTGTTTACATTTTTATTTTGTCAAACTTCTGCGTCATTCTACTCCCAAGTATTTTATTTATTTTGGTAGACAACATTGTGAAAATTGTTTAGGGTTAGGCAAATAATTCATTTTTTTTTTTACAAAAATAAATCTGAAAAGAATAACTTGTATTCACCCTGTTTAGATACACCTAAATAACACCAGACCCTCTCCTTCTTGGTGAATAGAGTCTACATGTGTCCTAACTAACCCAAAGTTAGTTGTTGTTTCCTCCTGCTGCTTGGGAGACATAGTGTCCCCCCAGTGTTTAATATTTTTTGCCCTTGGTATAAAACTGTTGTGTTGTCTGTCTGCTGACGGAGCAAACTCAGAACCAATACAGACTCTGTGCCTTTCTTAGAGCTTTAATCTGACTTGTTCATGGGTTTCTGATCTTGTGTCTCTCATATCATGTGCATGGTGTTAAATAAACCTGGTATATTCACTTAACAGTGTTTGGCAATATTTTTTTTTGTATGTATTTTAAGAAGTAACCATAGTTTCTGTCACCTTAAACTGGCATTAACCACTGGAAATGCCAGTTTGTTTTGGCATTTCCACTAAATGCCAAAACAAACTGCTCCAAATCTCATTTGCCATTTCAGTTCTTAATATTTGGTGGCCTTTGCAGCTTTTTAATGTTATGGATGCTTTTAGATATACTTTTACTTCACACACCGCCAGGTTGGATATTGGTCTTCATGAAAATTCACAAATTGATCAGGTCTTGCTGCTTGACTTCACATAATCTAACCAAAACAAAAAGAAAAAAAAAGAAAACTCTAAGGGGGACCCTTAAATTTATATTTTTAGTTAATGTAGGGAAATGCCAGTAGATATTATATGTATGCTATAGCATACATATAATATCTAAGAAATTTGTTTTCTTTTTCATATCAAATACGAAAAAGATTTGATATGAATCAATGAAGGTAACAGTGAAACTTAAAATCCTCATTTCACATACAAGTGGATTATAACAGTTCATAACTGATAACGCAACACCAAGAGGAGAAAAAAACTTATACGAATGCTGTGTTTTGTTATCAAATGGAAAATCTGTAAGAGAGAGATGAAACATGAGATATCGCAACATGGTTTATATATATACATATATATATATATATATATATATATATATATATATATATATATATATATATATATATATATATATATATATATAAATAAAGACAGTGCGTAAAATAGGCAGACAATGGAAAACAAAATGCTAAGACTTTCATACACAAACACATTTTTCGCGGTGAGAAAATGACAAATGACTATTCCAAAATGGGACTTCTGCGTTTATTGGACAATAAAGAAGTTGGATCAATGAGGTTTGCAAAATGGAGGGAACATGACGAGAAGCCATGAAAACCAACACCGCCCTTTTAATTACCACACAGATTCGAAATGATAAACGTAATTCTACTATTAAATGGTGTGCACACAACAAATATGGAGGACATTATAAAGAACAATTTAAGTTTTAGTGCGAAAAGTGGAAAGACTACTCGTTTCGTAATCGAAACGAAGTGTTTCCAGTATGCCCACAAGTTGTTTTTCAGCCTAGATTAGTAGTTGTTCAATGCGCTGAACGGGAGATGGCAGTAGAGTTTCCATACTGTTGAACCATAGAAGAAGTGTTCTGAGCCTAAGATATAAAAAGGGGCGTCCCTCCTTTCCCGGTCTCACTCGACTTTTATCGGCACGTCCTTACGTTCTCCTGTTCTCCACATAAGGACAAAAGGTATTTGCGCCGTTCGCATTTACTATGATTCTGATATTTATGTAAGCGGAGGTCGAGCGTTCTGCATTTATCATTCTATTTTAATGTAAGATCTTGGTATGTTTGAAAGATATATTTTTAGTAATCGTTAAATATTAAAATTCTAAAATTCGATGTATTTTTAGTGTAGAACATATGAAAAAACCAGGCCAGGCAATTCTTAGCCTAATTTGGTTGTTTTGAATACTTATGTAACCCGAAAAGTAGGGCAACGTGCTGCAGTTAAGTAGGTCACTAAGACAAAGACCAGCCCGGTTTTACAAAATGGCGACGAGGAAAAACCCGGCTAATGGCTAAATTAAACAAAGGCATCCCTTATTATGAATTCGAAATGACGTTAGGTTTTAATGAGGGTAACTAAGTTTACGTCGTTCATTTTACACATTTTATTAACCAAACGGGCATTGTATTGCTTCGAAAAACCGTCATGAGTGTCTGACTAAAAAGTGCGCAACTGCCAGGCGCCATTTTGTAACTGGCCTACTTTCTGCTAAAGCTGCGTCATGGTGCCTGCTGTTTACTCGATGAGGCTGGAATGCGACGTGTGGGATTTTCTTCAACACTCTTAATGTTTTTTCCCCCCCTTTTCAGTTACTTCGTGAAAATGTCGGATGAGGGTAAGCTGTTCATCGGAGGTCTTAGCTTCGAGACCAACGAAGATTCTTTGGCTGCAGCTTTCGGCAAATACGGAACCATCGAAAAAGGTAATGTATTTAGTTGCGTTTATGTAACTATAGTGGAAAAGGGCGCAATTTATATTAAACATAAGTTTAAAAATATATATATTTAATTTTTTTAGTTGACGTGATCAGAGACAAAGAGACCGGAAGATCTCGTGGCTTTGGCTTTGTGAAATACGACAATGTTGAGGATGCTAAAGATGCTCTGGATGCCATGAACGGAAAGGTAATTTTTGTGCTTTTATATACTAGCCGTCTGCAACTAAATATTTTAAGACACAAACTAATTTGTGTCTTTTAATGCCCTGCAGACACTTGACGGTCGGGCAATTCGAGTTGATGAGGCAGGAAAGGGTGGTCGCTCCAGAGGAGGCTTTAGCTCTGGTCCACGTGGGGGCAGATTCAACTCAGGTGGCCGTGGGGGAAGGGGACGTGGCTTCTCCAGGGGTGGTGAGTATTGCAACCAAACTAATTCACTCTCCTTTTTTTCTCCCTGCTTTGTACGTAATATTTGCTCTGTGCATTTAGGTGGCAGCTACGGCGACAGAAGCTACGGTGACAGAAGCTATGGCGACAGGAGCTTCGGTGGTGGAGACAGAAGCTTTGGCGGCGGCGGTGGCGGTGGATACAGAAGTGGAGGATATTCTTCAGGTGGCTACAGGGACAACAGGTAAGTTTGCTAACCAGCCTTTGAATAGCAATACGTACAAGCAATAAAGACAGTAAAACTTACTTTTGCTCTCATCTTTTAGGGGACAGGGTGGATATGGTGACCGCTCTGGATCCTATCGTGACAGCTATGACAGCTATGGTAAGCATCTTTTATGCGACTAAATGTAGCTATTTTTGTGGGCTGTCAAACCTTAAGTTATACTGTATGTTTAGTGTTTTACTAAAGATGTTGACAACTTGCCATAGCACAAATTTGGAGGATTATTTTGAAAAGTTCTTTCAAACTCCCATATTCAAGTAATATTAAGGATACCTTTTGTAGCCCTAATATTTAAGACTCATGTGTGCCCCTCAGTTCTGTACCTGAGCCCAAGGTCAAGCCTCATTGCATACAGTTGCCTGTCTTTGCTGTCCCGTTCCACACTGAAAGAGGCTGGTGGAGACATTTAAGCTCTAAGGCAGATGACAATGCCACCTTCAAAAGTCGCTCACTTCTCAACTGATGGAGCCCTTTGAGCAAAAAAAACCAAGGGAGGGTTGTAGCACTAGCTCTAGTGGATTGAATGGATATTGTGAAACACCAGTGTCAACATTCAGTGTCTTTACCTGTGCCCACTTCTTATCCTCCAGCGACACACGAGTAAACCTCCCTGATTCAAGATTCATCACTTGGCTGGCCGTATTTGAAAGCTGTGCTCCTCAAGGAAAAAAAAAAACATGTCCACATGTATTATGTAGTTCTGTTGTAGAAGCTTGGCATCTGACTTAAATGTAGCCATGAGTTTTGGTTATTTCTCAACCATGTTACAAATTAAAATTCAGTAGTCTTGCTCAATTGACCACTCCCATCGTTCAAAACATCTGTATGATCTCACTACTGTACGTCCCCTTTTATTAACGTGGGGATAAAGCGGCTATCCACATTGCTTTCTGTCGATCAGTTAATCAGCTAATTTCTTTTGTCCAGCACTTTAAAGTGTTTTGTTTTTTATAAGATCTTAAATGGGGCTTTTTTTTTGTTATCCTTGTTGATAAACTGACCTACCTCCTACCAAATCTTTAAACTGAGGAAAGAACAACTAGCATCCTCAGATTAACCTTTGGGGGATTTTATTGTTAAATTTCTTAAACTATTGAGAACCTTAGCTTACCCAAGGCTCATTTTGTGTTCAATCTCCCAAAAGAGTGAATTCCTGGTGAACTACACATCCGAAGTGGCCGGCTGTTCATGAAGTTGCAAAATGCAGCATGCTACAGTCCGCCCAAGGTATCTTCTGTGCTCTGCTCAACATCTGCATCTTAAATGTGCTGTAAATGGACTCTCTTGTTTAAAGTGATCAGAAAATGTAACTTCGTTACCAGAGTAAACTGAACGGGAACAGTTTTTTTGTACTTTATGTTCTTTGTATGATCCAAGATTTTTTTTTTTCTTTGTCAGTTTGGCTTCATGGAGCCTATTAAAACAATGTGAAATAATCCTGATTCCGTTGCCTCTTCAAAATGATCACATGGGAAATGATAAGGTGGTGGCTAACTCATTGCTGCGTGGGAACACTGTTTTAATTCCCAACATCACTTTAAAATGGATGTTGTGGAAGGGCACTAAAATCTGGCTTTCTTCCATGAAAGATTAACTTGTGCAGCTGCTTAATTTCTATCATGTAAGGTTAGGCAAATTTTCTTTTGGTCCAGTGCCTCCTGTACATTTGTTAAAGGAATTTGATTTGAACCCTGTCCAGCGAGTTCAAACTTCCAGTGAAATTTAAAATTGAAAGTGACAAGTTTTCAAGCCATCAGCTGGTGTCCTGTCAATGCTTCAGTATGTTCAAGACCTCAGCTCCTTCAAAAACCTACAAGTCCTTGGAGAGATGTGTTGCGCCTGCCAACAAGTGCTCAAAGATGAAAAGCTGCTCTTGCCTATATCATAAATGAAGAAAGTAGGCCAGTGCACGTGAGGTAAAAATCTCCTTTTGCTTTGCTCACATCCTTGAAAAGCAGTTCTCATTGTTTCCATGAATACCTACAATTGTGTAAAGTCCTGTGCTTCAGATGTCTCCTGCAAACATGCCATGGCCTCCTCCCCGAATCAGATAATTCCATAATGAGGGAATGTTTTAAGGAAGCTTCCGGATTGTAGCGCTCTAAAAGTCCACAACATTTGCCTCTAAGTCACGGATAGAATTGTGCTCGGTCAAGTTCTGTTCACCCCCCATTGCTCCTCAAAATTTCCTCCAGTAACTTTCCAAGTCACCCATATTACTGCAACCACACTACTTGAAATGTCTGATCTCCTATGGCAAGTTTAAGTGTTGCATGCAGAATCTTGTGCTCCCTGTGTGTTCTTTAGGCCTAATTGATGTCTTTCTCTAGGTTGAACTGACCCGCTGAGACTTGACTGGATCTCATCACAGTGTGGTCTGATGGTTACAGCTGGCAGTGCCTCATGCAGACTCGCCTTATCGGGTAAATGACACTACATGTAGACCTGTGCAGGTGAAACTGCTTAACATTTTTGAGTGAACCTGGCATGTTGTGTTGCAGGTCGCTATGAAGGAGTGGGTTTGGTGCAGTCGGCACCGAAAAGTACAGAAGGTCCATTTGGATGGCTTGTCAGAAACATAAGCAACTGTGAAATGTTTAACGTCAAAGACTGAGACATTCTGCAGCTAATGCTCCTTTTTATTTTTGTAAAATAAAGCTGAGACTAAATCAGTTGGTCTTGTTTTTACTTTTATGATACTTGGGGTTGGAAAAAATTATATGGCTGAAAGGCTTTTCTGCCTGATATATAATTTTCAGTTTAATGGCCTTCACATTTGGAAAAACTGCTTCCCTTTGATCTGGCAAATTAATGGTTACTGTAGTCCAAGAGCATCCCCTCATTGGTTGCTAAGGCAGTTGTGCATGGCAACAGATAACTCGATGCTTTGATGTAATCTGTTACTAAAGAAGTTGACCAATAGGTGGAGTGTTTTTAAACAGTCTTGATTTCTCCATTAGTCTGCCCTGTTACTAGGTGGGCAGAAGCCAGTTGACATGCTGGGTGCTATGAAAATTATTTCTTAAACTAGACTGGATTTAGTGGTATCGGCATAGTTTTGTAATTCTAAGCACTTAAATCTTTATAATTTGTAAAATTTGACATGCTTTTCAAAAAACAAAGTTTGAGATGTTTTCCTTTTTTAATCAGCTGTTCTGGAGCAGAAAACATGCAGGATGGTGAGCACCAGGTTTGAAAAACTGATTCAACATCCATCCCACAAACTGACAGCTGCTATATTCAGAGCTGCCCCACTGCAAATATCTACCAAAAACTACACTAATTTACAATGAAAAAGTTAAGAACTCCAGAAAAAAAAAAAAAAATTTAAAACTGTACTAACCTAACTAGAATCTTACACCTAAATCAAAACCAGAGTAAAACAGATTAGGGTAAAGAAAAAAACTTTATTGAACATTTACAAGCTGAAGTGAGCGAGGGCTCAGGTCCACAGGGGAGCTGATGGAGTCTGGGATGATCTTCTTCACGGCTGGAATCACACGTACCACAGGAAGCCAAAGCGTTTGTGCAAATACTGCTCACGTGGCCGGAGGCTGAACAGCTCGTCCGACAGCGGGGGGACCCAGCGATCGGTGTGGAAGACGCTCTCACCCACCTGCAGAAAACATTATAGTGGCAAATTTTATTGTGACTTGAATTTCAAGTCAGACAAGATTTTGATAGTAGAAAAACAGAATCAGAATTTTGATGAGATTTTACTGAGAAGGACATAATGGTCTTCTGATCAATTTTATATATACATTTTAATCTATTTTCACTCATTTAATGAGAATTTACAGCACTCATAAAAGTATTAATTCAATTTTTCCAATCAGAATATTAGCAGTTTTCTTCTACCTGGCAATTTACTGCCATGTGCTGCAGTGTAATAGAAAATTAATATACTTGTTGATCACCATACTTACTCAGCTCAATTCTGTGTGATTGAGTCTTCCATTTAAAATGTTTTCAAAATAATATTGTGGCGTTCAAGTAGGTCATTTATTACAAAAGTAAATAATAAAGATAGTAAAGTAAGAATATTATTGCTCCCTTTACCTCGCTTCCTGTAGTTTGATCTTAGATATTGGAATAGAAGGTGCAGCGATGTAAACTTGTATGAAAATTAAAGCTAATGCAAGAATGTTGAAGTTTATACATGAAAAGAGAATGTGATGCCTCAGAATATTATATAACATAGTTATGAAAAATATAAGGAATAATTTCGTGAATATCTCCTCTACCTTCCAGCCTGGCACATCTTTCATGATGATTGACTCCTCTTCCAAGTTTTCCCTCAGCATCCTTAAAGTTCTGTGGAAACGTGAAACACATTTGTTACCGTGACGATCCGATCCCACTTCTGAACGTCGACGTGCGAGTTCTCATCCTCACCTTCGGTCGTGCTCTGCCTGAATAAGCGGCATTAGTGCTATCCTGGCCTCCAGCTCCTCGATCAGCAAGCGCCTGCGACACACATCACAACTCCGCTGCGGACATCGCAATCTGACAAGAGGAGCCAAAACGAGAGCCGGGCCTTACCTCCTCTCTCTGTTCCAGCTAAATATCCGCCAGTAGCCGATCGCCATGATGCCGATCCCGATTCCAAACATGCTATACCCTGGTAATTAGAGAAATAAGTCACGCATTACCTCTGATTCTCCTCACATTAATTTCAGCTATTTGGATTCACAAACCTAAATTGGATTATTTTGCATTTAATTTAACTTCCTTTTGGGATCAACGACGTATTTTTCTTTAACTGAACTGAATTCCTTATATAAGTGCAAATAAAATGAAAGGTGATTTTTTTTTTAAATAACATTGATGCATTATGTGTTAATAATGTAGATTAGATATGACTACTCTAACTTATCAAGCAACACAAGCTTGTCAACTACAGCATCAAAATGGCCAATTTGTTTGTAAAAACAGAGTAAAGGCTTCAAAGACTTTTAAAGAATCTAATCGATCCAGAATATTTCAGTCCCATTTTAAATTGTTTTAAGTATTGGAGTTACAAACTTGATCTGATGGCAAACAGTAATATACAAATATAACATAACCAGAAAAGCAGTTTTCAATGATGATTTCAAGTATTGTGAAGAAAAATTCATTCAAACTGAGGTACACCAGGTTCACTTAGCAGGCCAGGGTGTAGTTAGTTTATTAAACTAAAGGGGAAAAAAAGCTCATCAGATAATATGACAAAGTTCCCTCTTAATAAATGCAATCATTATTTAGAGACTGCATGTTGCGTTAAGTCCAGGTTATCTTTGCCTGATATTAAAAGTTGCTTGATTCATTCAACTAATCTGCCTTACAATAGACACATTTGGTAGTTGAGATTCATTCAAAGCGGTAATAAAGTCAAAGTATTCCAGGAATTTCCTACTGCAATTGAAGTAACACTCGTGCAGCTACAGATATGCGTTAAACTAATTAGATAATCAATAGTTTTCCACCCCAAACGAAGCTATATCCTTCAAAATGACCGAAGTAAACAAATCAAACATGCTAGCAGTTTAGCAAGTCCCATCGCCTAAAGTGTTTTCTAGGTAATGCATATGTTTAATTTACTAATACATAGCACCGGTGCAAATCATAATACTGTTCCTTTACAGAAGCACAGCTACATAAAAGGAAAAACTACCAACAGCGAGCCTTTCATTTCAGATTGTGTCTATGTGAGCTGACATCGAGCAGTTAGCATGAGCTAATGTTGGGACAGTGCAAGGTCTCCAGTCGGACTGGAGTTTCTCTTTTTCCCGGATTTAAGAAGGTTTATATGCGGTGTATGTACCCGATAATCCTCGTTTCGGAAGATTTCTCTTGTAATCAAAAGCAGAATATCCTCCCGGAGGAGGCATGTCCTGCTTCACCTTGGACCCCGCCATCTTGCCCAGGCCTCCTCCTTCATAAACGGGAGAGTCTTCTTCTTTAATGCACAGAGAACAGACTGTAGATGCGCTCCACATCGCCCCCACGTGTTCGATCAAGGAAAACCATTTTATTGGACGTCAAAGACTAGTGACAAAATCATGTAGATATACTGTACATAGAGGTGAGCAGAGCAACTAAGAGTTTTACTTGAATATTATGTTAAAGTTATGATAATGACGTGAAAATAAAAAAGCAATCCGAGTAAAAGCAAAAAAAAGTATGGGGCAAACTAGAAAACAGCATAAACCTATACTTGATTGCAAGCAGACCCTCAACTACCTGCAACATGTCCATTAAATCCAATAAGATGGAACAAGTCAGACAAACTAGGCATGTCTGAAGACTTCATACATCCATCTAGACATGAACAGATTTAGCAATAGCTGCAAAGGTGAGATGACAGCTAGATGTTCTTTCAGCAACAAATCCATGTTTGTACTGGAAAATAATTTACTTCCTTGTTTGCTCAGCTCTGGCACTTTGGTGCACAAATGGCTGCTTAGAAATAAAAAAAAAAAAAGCCTTTGAATGACAGAACGAGTACACTAGTAAAATGTCCAAAGATTAGTTTGTTGTAATACCCACACACGCGCACACACAAAGACAGGAGCCATTTAAAATGTATATTTTTATTTCTTTAGGAGCTAAGAAAAGGTAAACCAAATAAACTTTAACATAATTCCGAACAATGCAATAAAGATTTTGGAAAGCAGAGAAATTTACTCATGATGGTGAGGAATTCTGGATGTTCTTGTGCAGTCCCAAGTCTTGGTAGCTGGGAGGTGTAAGAAAAAACGTCTACCCAGCTTCATGGATTCTGAATTATTGGAGGCAGGAGCTCTGGCTCCAGTGCAGGAAATTCAGCTCCGTCAAGAGTTTGCAGTGACGACATATTCAAAATCTTACAATGTTGACAATAATATAAAATAAGTAGATGGTAATTACAGATGAGTTAAGCAATGACACCGCGCTTCTTCTGCTAAGGTGCAAAATGGGCGTAAGGATAGGCATGCTGTTAAACAGGAAAAAAAAACAACAAAAAACAAAACAAAAAACAAAAGAAAGCTAGAATAAACTCAGTAGAAACCACTTCCATACTGAGCAATCTTTAACATCAGTCAAAAGCAAAATAACTTACTGTAAATACAACGTAAATTCAAACCTTTAACTACACAGAGGATGTAATGAAAATTTTACAACTTGGTGATTTTACCTAAAATAAATGTAATTTGTTTAATGTGAACTCCTGGGTTACAACTAGAACCATTCAAGTGTCAAAAATTAAGGTTCATCTGACCACCACAATGGCTGATAACCCTAAATCTCAATACTTTTCTCTTTAACAGCAGATGTTAAGCTCTTCTCACACCACTTCTCTGCTCAGTCTGAAGGACAGAGCTCATGGAAAGCCCTTCAAGTATTGTTTTGTTTTATTTTTATTTTATTTTATTTTTTTTTGACCCACTCAAATAAAAATGGTCTGTCCATAATTACCAAAACAACAGCGTGAATGTCAAAAATAAAAACAAGAATAATGAAAACTAAAACATAAAATCTTACAAAGAGATTTCAGGAACGTTTCTTCACTTTGAGAGATTGTAATTGCTTAACAGTCCTGTGGGGGCGCTGCGGACCAGGTTATTGGGAGCCGAGGAGCTTGGACACAATTTCTGAACAGCAGGGCACTGTTTATGCAGTTATTTCCACGTGTTTGCAGTCTGCGAGATGGAAGAGCGAGAGGGGATCATGTCCAGCAGGTACTCCCTCTGACGGGCGTCCACGGTGGCCGAGGTCTTGTGACCGGTCAGGCTCGGGTTCACGTAGGCCATGGTCACTCCTGCGAACAAGCAGCGGTCAGTCTGTGGAGCTGGTTGTGGAGAAATCGGTGGAGTAGTACGACTACTTGAATACGAAGCCACCCAAGGTCCCCACAATGCGCAGGCAAACACAGGTGCAGTCAGAAGTTTACATACACTCGTTTTTTTTTTCCAGGTAATTAATTTGAAAAAGAGCTGGGTCCAAGAGTTTTTCTTTAAATCGTGCAGGCTCAAATCTAATAAATATTTACACACGTGTAAATTATATGATGTTACCAAATGCTCATTTGCAAATGGCACCTCGTTCAGATGCTTTCTAGCTTGTGGCATAATATTTATGCCCGGATACTGGACCACTCTTCCTGCCAGAACCAGTTGGTGACTCTTTGGGAACTGACTTGATATTTATTTAAATGTCCCAACGTTTTAAGTAGCGATGAAGTAAATTCATCCAACATCTTTTCCACATTGCGGACTAATCGTTTGTCTCATTTGATCATAAAACCCCTCCAAAGAAGGAACATTTCTGTCCTGATTGAGGATGTCAGTTGTGGAAGCAATGGCCTCTTGTCAGCGTAGCGCCAATTTCCAAAGGGAAGTGAGATCAACATGGACTAAAAGTTTCTAGTTCGTGGCAGACTTGGGCCTTGGTGGTTCCTGGGTTGCTCCTGAATAATCCAAGAAAAACCCTTTCATCTGAGGGTCACAGTTTGGATTAAAAGATTGAGTCTTGCAGACAACTGGGTGACTCAACAGGACAATGATCCAATTAGAATTGGCTTTGGAACAAGTTTAGCAGGCTGGCAGTAAGCCTTCAGAAAGTCCAGAAATATGAAAAAAATGTTTTATAGTTAAAGGCCAGCACCGTCCAAGCAAACTAGTTCAACATAACATTACCAGATTGGGCCTCTTTTAGCTTTGACTGTAGCGTGCATTCACTGTGGTACTGTTTTGATGATGTCTGAAATGTCATAAGATTCACTTCAGCACATCCCGAGGCTTCTCACTGGGGTTAAGGTCTGAAATTGACGGTCGTCAACGTATGTGTGAAAATCACTTTTCATGTTCCCTGAATCACTCGTTAACAATTTGAGCCCGATGAGTCCTGGCATTGTCCTCTTGGAATTTGAACACGCCATCAGGGAAGGAATAATTATCTGACAGAAAAACCTGATCATTCAGTATTCGGGTAGTCAGCTGACGTCCTCCTGTTGCTGGAGCTGGACCGGACAAACTGCAGCAACCCCAGATCACAGCGCTGCCCCCGCTAGCTGCAACAGTACACCCTACGCATGACAGGAGCGTCACTTCTTGCCCTGATGCGCCTTTCCCTCTGGGTAAATCTGGACTCGGACCACATGACCTCCCTCCATCGCTCATGTTTATGATCCCCTGCAAATTGAAGCTTTTTTTCTCCTTACTAATAGTTATCTTATGGTTGCGTAGCTGTTCGGTCCCAATTTCTTGAGTTTCCTTCCCATTGTGTGTGGAAATACTTTTACGCTATTAAAAATATCAGTGAGTTCTAGTGCTCTTTTTTCTTCAATTTGATGTTCAACATTTAAATAATTACTGATTACTCAGGATTCCTTTCTGACCACATTTCCTTCTCAAAGACGATGGTTTCCCACTTCCAGTTTCTATTAACGGGTTTGACGGCTCACAACCGAATTTTTGTAGCTTCTTCAATCTCGTCAGAAGTTTTCTCTGCTTCATGCCGATGATTTGACCCCTCTAAAACACACCTTAGCACCTTTTCCAGGACCACAGGATGATGCATGAAATAAGAAGCTACTCACTGCATATATTGGGGTTAACCAACTTGTCACCTTGTATAAATTAGAATTAGTTTTCTTTCTCTAACTTTTGGTGTAACAGTATTCCTCACTGAAAATAGACAAGGTAAAATAAATAATTTAACCATGTTGTAAACTTCCGACTGCCGCCGTGTTGGGAAAAAAACTGAAAGATTTTCTATTCTAACACACCTTGCAGCAGACACCCAGGAAAAACATGAGCGCACCAAAACCAGGGGACTAAAGTAGGAAAAATGGGATCAATTCCAGGAAGGGAACTCCAGAGTGGGTTTGCCTTGTCCGAAAACATTTCCTCTCGTGTTATTTTGTCTTTCTGATCTCAGCTAATGTTTTTCCACTTAATGAGTTCCTGGGCACTATTAGAATTTGGACGAAATGTGTTCAAGGATTGCTTTTGGACCAGACAGGAGTTGAAAGAGAGGAGATGTCAGGCGCCAGAGCTGGGCTGGCTTTAATGCGGGTCTACCTGCGTTACTGCTGCTCTGCTTCTTCCATGCAGCTGAAGAGGCACTACCTCCGCTGACATTCCTGCCGCCGCTGATCCCACTGCTGCTCACCTTTGAACTCTGGACAGAGCGGTGGGAAACGTGGGCGTGCTTACCTGGCCGGCTGACCAAAGCCGCGGCCGCCACCGCACTCTGCAGCTGCGAGGAGGAGGAGAACGAGTGGGGGACGCCCCTCACCCCCACAGAGGAGACGCCGTGGGACAGGTGGCCCTGTGAGCTCTGAGGCGGACACAAACGGACAGCTTGACTCGCACCGACATTTGCTATACAAACGCTTCTTTTTAGATGAAAATAAAAACACTGTCCCCCCCTTTCCCCACACCTGCTTAATGGAGTGATGATGGAGGATGTTGGCTCCCCTGTTGGCCTGGTGATGGTGCTGGAGGGAGGAAACTCTGGCCTGAGCCTGCTTCAGCTGCTGAGACACCAGCTGCTCTGCCTTCAGTGACGAGGCGGCAGATGAGGCGGATGACGAGGTACTGTGGGAGACCGGGGAGGACACCTGCTGGATAATGCGCTGATCTATCTCTTGCTCCTGCTGCAGCGCTTTGACGAACGCGGCTTTCAGCCGATTGGTGTGCTCAGCTTTCAACGCCTTTTTCTGATTGGACGACATGCAGTCTTCGCAGAGCACGACCCCGCCTTTAGCCTTGTCCTGCCTCCAGCGGCAGGTAAAGTCAGTATTGCACTGGGTGCAGATGAAAGGGTCTCGGATGACTTGCTTAGAGAGTGGCACACCTGTTTTTCCTAGGTAGGAAAGGAAGAGGAAATTCTTTAGGACTGATGGGAAAAACAAAATCATGGACTAGAATGGTTTGCGATAATAATAATAAAAAACTATCCCTCTATCTAGCT